TGTTTCATCCAACTGTGGTAGATGTTTCACGTGTTTCATCCAACTGTGGTAGCTGTTTCACGTGTTTCTTCCAACTGTGGTAGCTGTTTCACGTGTTTCATCCAACTGTGGTAGATGTTTCACGTGTTTCATACAACTGTGGTAGCTGTTTCACGTGTTTCATCCAACTGTGGTAGCTGTTTCACGTGTTTCATCCAACTGTGGTAGCTGTTTCACGTGTTTCATCCAACTGTGGTAGCTGTTTCACGTGTTTCATCCAACTGTGGTAGCTGTTTCACGTGTTTCATCCAACTGTGGTAGCTGTTTCACGTGTTTCATCCAACTGTGGTAGCTGTTTCACGTGTTTCATTAGGTTTCGGTAAATATATCTGGGCGTTTCATCGTTCACTGGAGGAGGAGGTGAGCACTGTTGACATTTAAGTGTCTTCCTTGACCAAAAATATTCAAGGCGGAGAGGAGAGGGGAAGAGAAGGAGGAAGAGAGAAAGGGGTAAGTAATGGAAGGTAGGAAAGGTTTGGTGGGAAGGAAATGGGGGTGAGGAGAGGGGGGGGAGGGGGTAAGAAGAGAGGAGGAGGAGGAGTAGAGAAAGGGTAAGGAATGGAAGGTGAAAGGTTAGGGGAATAAGTTGGAGGTGAGGAAGGGAAGGGGTAAGTGAAATGGAAGGTAGGGAAAGGTTAGGTGGGGAAGGAATGGGGTGAGGTGACGGAGGGGGGGGGAAGATGGATAAATAGAGGGAGAAGATGGAGGCCGGGGAAATAGGAGGTGTTTTAATGGCGAGGGAGGGAAGAGGAAGGGTGGAGGGAGAGGTCATGGAATAGCACTTGGTAAGGGAAGAGGGAGGAGGAAGAGGGGGATGGTGGAAATGTCACGTGTTACCAGATAAGTTATCAGAGGTGAGAAGCGACCGTCAACCCAGGGCGTGATAGTGTTGGTTCCCTGGGCGGCGGTGGGGAGGGTGAGGGGAGGGGGCGATGGGGAGGGAGGTGGAGGGGGAGGGGGGCGATGGTGAGGGGAGGTGAGGGGGAGGGGGCGATGGTGAGGGAGGGTGTGAGGGGAGGGGGCGATGGAGGGGAGGGGTGAGGGGAGGGGGCGATGGTGAGGAGGGTGAGGGGGCGATGGTGAGGGAGGTTGAGGGGAGGAGGCGATGGTGAGGGAGGGGCGATATGAGAGAGGGGGGGCGATGGTGAGGGGGAGGGGGTGGAGCGGTGAGGGGGGGGTGAATCTGTTAGTGCTAGATCTGTCATGTTGCAGCTACTAGGGGAGGCAAGGACGGGAGGAGGAGGAGGAGGAGGAGGAGGTGAAGATCAAGGTAGGTTAGCAAGTTCAGGTCAAGGAAGAAGAAGAAGAAGAGAATCAAGGGAAAGGAGGAGGATGAAGAGATGGAAGGAAAGGAGGGAGAGGCACAACTGGAAGGGAAAGGAAGAGGAAGGAATGTAAGAGAACAGGAAGGATAAAAGGGAGGGAGGTGAAGAGCAATATGTAATCCTCTCCTTTTTAATGTTCGTGAAGTTAAGAATTGCCATGAATTCGTGGAAGGTTAGGTCAGGTTTGGTTAGATTTGGTTAGGTTAGGTTAGAGTTGCCAGAAACAATGAATTCGTGGAAGGTAGAGACGAGAGCAGTTCCTGGAAGCTGTCTCGGATACTGCCCAGGCGGTGAGGGTCTGGAACTTATAACGTGAAGCTTTTACTGGCAGAGTATTGCAGTAGTTGTTGGTATTCCTGAAGATTAGTCCTTCCAGCTTATTTCACCTTAAGAATAACCACCCTAATGCTAACCTAACGTAATTAACATAACCTAACGCTAACTTCATCTAATCTAACCTAACGAAACTAAACCAGACCTAAACTAACCAAACTAATCCAAACATAATCTTACCCAATTCACCACCCCCCCCTACCCCAACCAGTAGCGTTAGGGTGTTGAATCATCAGGTTAAATAATCGGGGGGGGAGGGGGGGGGGCGGCGGCGGCTAATCTTCAGGTGACCCATATTATTTTTTTAAGGTAGGAACGAAAGTCTAATAAGTGTCAAATGGGTTATATTAAAAGTATAAATAGCAACAAACTTTGAAATCCAGTTCTGTAAAATTATTAAGAGTTTTGTCAAAGTAATTCTCCCCCCCCCCCCAGAGGCACATTCAGTTATAAATTCCTGGAAGCGCATAGACCAAGTATTTCTAGGTACAGTGTTATATTCTTAAAACAAAAGACAAACGCAAGTATCAGGAAAACAGTTGTGGAAATTAACGTAAGATTCTGGAAAGTTAAGATGAGTGTATTACCTCCCCCCCCCTCCCCCCTTAAGAGGCAGTTCCAGAGTTCCAGTACTCGTAAATATTACAGTAGGTGAAAGTAAAAACTGTGATGGTTGTTGTGGTGACGAGGAGGAGGAGGAGGGAGTGTGATGGTTTGTTATTGTTGAGATGGTGTGTTTTATAGTTGTTGTTCTTCCCGTTTCTTATCCTTCTTACCGCTTCTTATCCTTCCTCTTCTTACTGTTGTTTCTTCCCTTTTATTATGATTTGTACGCACACACACACAAATAATGTTCGTATTCATATGTGTTCTCACTGTCCCAAAAGCCCCCCCCTTAAACCTTATGGGATTTACCTTTTTTAATAATGTTGGTGGATGGGAAAGATGAGAGAGCGGGGAATTCCATAATGAGACGTGTGTGTGGAATGATGATTTTGAGAGGGCGTGTGTGGAATGATTGATAAAGTGAGAGGGCCGGGAAATACACCGGTAAGACGTACATAGAATGATAAATGTGACAGGGAAGGGAAATACACCATAAAACATAACTACAAAAAAAAGGCATGAAGAGGAAGTGGTAGAGGAAGTGAGGGAATGAAAGATGGTCAGGGAGAAAATTTGGTTTCGAATCTGTTTTTTTCTCATCTGTTTAAACACTAAGCTGTTGGATTTGTGCTGATGTCACCTTATACGTTGAGAGCGTTACCGTTGTGAATCAGTCCGGGTTATTTCGTATTGTGAAGGTCATATTAATTCATTAATTGGTGTAGTTTAGACAATGTGATATTTTTCGGATAATTTGAAATTAGTCCTATTACTATCACAGTTTATTTCACCTTAAGATTAATCCCCCAGTTTATTTCGCCTTAGAATTACCTCCAGTTTATTTCGCCTTAGAATTACCTCCAGTTTATTTCACCTTAAGATTAATCCCCCAGTTTATTTCGCCTTAGAATTACCTCCAGTTTATTTCGCCTTAGAATTACCTCCAGTTTATTTCACCTCAAGTATTAACCACCCTAACGCTAATCCAACTTAACATATGAGCGGGCGCGGGAGAAATATTTTTAATAATCTTGAATAAAGTGTGTGAAAAAGTGGCATGAAGAATGTACAGTTTACGTTTCTGTGAGATTATTATTGTTATTATTTAAATATTATTGTTATTGATTTTGTATTATTATTTTATTATTATTATTATTATTATTATTATTATTATTATTATTATTATTATTATTATTATTATTATTATTATTATTATTATCATCATCATCATAAATTTTCTCGACCTTCTTTTGAAAGTACGGCGATAGAAGACTCTGTGTTTACAAAGCATCGCAAGAGAGGAAGCTAGATCACATCCTCAACCGCTACACTTTAGTTTGACATTTGACGTGGGAAGAGCAATTCGCACACGAAGGCAGTGAACTGTTATTTGATATTCTGTCGCTGTCATCCATCATGTTTACTCACCATCGTCACTCCTACTCTCTCTCTTACTAACATGATATTGTTCTTCATTGGCTATATATATATCCAGGTGGGTAAATTCCTGACTACATAGAAACATAAGAAAATAAGGAGTCTGCAATAGGCCGGTTGGCCTGTACATGGCAGCTCCTGTCGAGAGTTACTACCACTCTATCATCCTTGAATCTATCTAGCCTCCTTTTGAAACGGAGAATCGGGTGATACACTACGATAGTTTAGTCTGAGGAGTTTATCTATACATTAGGATTTCTTTGTACGTAATGTCACCGTTGTGAAATATTCACATAAATCGATTGCCATTTCCAGATGCCCTTAATGTATTTTTAAATGATACCTAAAGACTATACTCAGATCACCAGCGTGGTTAAACCCTGATTTAAAAAAAAGTAGTTAAACCCAGAATAAAAAAGGTAAAGTTAAACCCAGAATAAAATCTCATAGTTGAACCCAAAAATAAAGTTAAATTAA